ATAAAAATAACCCGCACTTGTCGCCACACTGCCGGTATATAGCTTAATATTAAGCTTGCTCGAAATATCTTTGTTAGAATAGGTATTACAACCGCTTTTCCCTTCTGTAGTAGTACAGAAAAAATTCCATCCCTACCTGGTGACTTGAAAGGTTCGAAGGAGTCAATCGCCCATTCAACTTTTCTTTCAGTAAAGATTTTATTGGCCAAAGTGCAAGCATCAGCTCTTGTTCTGTCTAACTCAGTCGTTTCATTCAATATTTCATGAATATCCGTCCTGGTTTCATCGATACCAATTGCTGTTGTCGTCACGTTTTGGTCTTCGTTTGAATTAATAATAGAACATGGAAAATGCGTTCTCATCATCAACTCTAACGTTTCATTTGTAGAAGTAGTAAAAGAGCCATCCTCTTTTTTCAAAGTGCCCAGACCATTGGAATGATCTTTAGCGAGTATTTTCTGCAACCTAGCAGTTGCTGGAGTATTTTCAATGTTCTCACATGTATGCCTCCAGTGTATCCTATTTGATCTCCGTATTTCCTTATTATAGGCGGTGAGGGATTCCTTATATTGTTCCCACTGTTGTGTTCGTTTAGCCCTATTGAAAAGCTTCCGGGCTTTTTACGACGTTTCTGTAGCCTGTTGTTCCACCAAGGTACATCCCTGTTTGTAGAGCGTTCCTTTTCGATGCAACTCTCATAAAAGGCATGTTGGGTCAAATTTGAAAGTTGTTTAGAACTATTCTCAAGTTCTTCACAAGTGTTTAAGTTAATTGCTATCGTGTCTCTTCCTGCCACTAAAGGGTGATACGGTCAAAATTTGGTCAATATCAACTTGACGTATTTCTTTCAATTTTGCATTTAAAAAACCTGAACACCCCTCATTTTGAAGGTGTGTGTGTGTAGAATGTTGCTCCTATTTTGATTTTGGAATTCACTCTTCAGTTGTCAAAATGCCGTCCAAGCAAGAAGAGCAGCGTATCAAAATTTTGCTCGCGCATCGCGAAAATCCGAGCTACTCGCACGCAAAGTTGGCAAAATCGCTAAAAGTTGCCAAATCAACCGTTACAAATGTAATTAAAGTGTTTGGGGAACGTTTGTCGACAGCCAGGAAGTCTGGATCGGGGGGAAATCGAAAACCGGAAGCCGCTGAGACGACAAAGAGAGTTGCCGGTAGTTTCAAGCGAAACCCTAACCTCTCTCTCCGAGATGCCGCAAATAAGCTGGGTGTATCGTCTACAACCGTGCATCGAGCCAAAAAACGAGCCGGACTATCGACTTACAAGAAGGTAGTGACTCCAAATCGCGATGATAAACAAAATACGACGGCCAAAGCGCGATTCCGGAGGCTGTACACGACGATGCTGACGAAGTTTGACTGCGTGGTAATGGACGACGAAACCTACGTCAAAGCCGACTACAAGCAGCTTCCTGGACAGGAGTTTTATACGGCAAAAGGAAGGGGAAAGGTAGCAGATGTTTTCAAGCACATGAAACTGTCAAAGTTCGCAAAGAAATATCTGGTTTGGCAAGCCATCTGTACCTGTGGCTTGAAAAGCAGCATTTTCATAGCTTCCGGGACTGTCAACCAAGAAATTTACGTGAAAGAGTGTTTGAATAAACGTCTGCTGCCTTTCCTGAAGAAACACGGTTGTTCCGTACTGTTTTGGCCGGATTTGGCATCTTGCCATTACGGTAAAAAGGCCATGGAGTGGTACGCCACCAACAACGTGCAGGTGGTTCCCAAGGACAAGAACCCTCCCAACACGCCAGAGCTCCGCCCAATTGAGAAATACTGGGCTATTGTCAAGCGGAACCTAAAGAAGACCAAAAAAACTGCTAAGGGCGAGCAGCAGTTCAAGGCAAACTGGCTTTCTGCGGCGAAGAAGGTGGACAAGGTGGCTGTACAAAATCTGATGGCAGGGGTCAAGCGTAAGGCCCGGCAATTCGGATTTGGAAAAGCGGAAGCCTAACTGAATATTTTTCCTGAATTTTATACTAATTGAACTTGAAAAAGAAATTTAATTTGATTTTTTAAATAAACGATTTCACCGATTTACACGCGTTTTACCTTGACCAAATTTTGACCGTATCACCCTTTAGCTCTGAATTATATAGCTCCCAGTCTGTTTTCCTAGGATCGCTAAAAGTTTGTGTGAGCTGTTGATCAGCCTCATATTCAAATAATATTTGCTTGTGGTCAGACAAAGATATTTCGTCTGACACATGCCATTTTTTGATTTTGTCTGAGATTATTGGACTACACAAAGTCAAATCAAGAACTTCTTGTCTAATTGCATTTATAAATGTTGGAGCATCTCCTCTGTTACATATATCATTGTTAGAAATATAATCTAAAAGGTACTCATCTCTGGTATTGATGTCCGTTCTAGCCCATATTGTGTGATGAGCATTTGCATCACAGCCAATTATAAATGCCTTATTTTGTTTCTTGCAGTATGAAACAAACGCCGCTACTTCTGGTGGAGGTACATCTCCCAAGTCTCCTGAAAAGTATGCTGAAGCAATATATATTTCCGTTTTCCCGTGAGTTGTTGGAACCTCCATCAAGACCGCAACGATGTCTCTTTTTATAAATTTTGTAATAGGAACTAAATTTACTCTTCCATTTACTAAAATTGCAGCTCTTGGAGCTAATTGCCCTTCATCGTAAATTAACTTACAAGATTTTGTAGGAACTCCTAATATCCTACTTTTATTTGTCCATGGCTCCTGGATAAGGGCAATGTCCAGTTTTCTCTCTGTGAACCTTTTACAAAGTACAGCAGGTGCTCCCTTTGCATGGTGAAGGTTCACTTGAACAAATTTGATTTTATTGTTGTTCGCCGCTCGCATGGGGATTTAGTTCTTCCCCAACATTGGTTTTGCGGTTCCCCTTATTTGCATTGTTTTCTGCTTGGATCCTAGTAATTTTGTATCCTGGCTTCAATCCTTGTTTTTGTGGTGTATTCTTTTCTTTTCTTTTGTCACCGACTGTATTTGTAGTGTAGCCAGGAGCATTACGGTTTGTTTTTTTGCTCTCGACACCACTTGGTCCTGGGATTTCGTCAATTTGATCTACGATCATCTTGTCATCGCCAGTGCCTACGTGGGTCTTTTGAGATTCACCATCATCCCTTTGCCCTGGTCTTTCACTACCATCATGTAGATTTCTCTTCTGGAACTTTTTTCTTATGTTGGCATTTCCAAACTTGAAATCAAGGATGAATTTACTGTTTTTGATGGAGTCGACAGTGAAGACTAGTTCTACATGTTGGTTTTTTACGTTGCGCTGCAGTATCCTCCATGCATCAACAGCCAACCCATCGTTTTGACTTTCTAGGAGAGTCAGAATTTCTTCATTTTTGTCCTCTGAACTCCAAGGGAAGAAACCAATGAGTATTTCAGGACGCGGGATTTCCTTTTCATCCACTGCTAACAGCTCTGCCCCTGACCAGGGAGTTACTGTAGAAATAATGCTTTTTAGCCAGTCTGCAGTTTCTTTATTTTTACAGACTATGACTAAATAGTCCGATTTGAAAACACAATCGCCAAATTTTGGTTTCAATGGTGCTTTTCGTTGACCTGCTACTTTAGCTAAAACTGCTTTTTGCGTAGCAATTAATTGAGCTGTTGTAAGCTCCATATTCGGGTATTCTTTTGGGAGCACACCCAGCTTCACATACTTCGCAACATCGCTGTACACCACTCTTCGAAAGTATCGATTAGGTGCTGAAGCCGCATGCAATCGGCGAAGCTACGAACAATCACATAGATCTTCACATCATCCACGTAGAACGATCGGCAACCGTAGAAACAGTCCGGCCTCATTCACAAAAATCGAGAATAGCAATGGTCCCAAGTTGCTACCTTGAGGAACACCGGAGCTGTTTGTAAAATAGTCCGATTGCTCTGATCCGATTCTAACACAAAGCTCCCGGTTGGTCAGATAGGACTTGAACCAACGAGTTAAACCCGAGGATACACCGAGTTTTTCAAGTTTAGCTAGCAGTATGGAGTGGTCAACCCGGTCGAATGCAGCCTTAAGATCTGTATATACAACGTCCACCTGCACTGCAGCTTCCATACTCCGAAGACATAAAGAAATGAACGGAGCTAGATTTGTTGAAACTGATCGATTTCCAACGCGTAGGGAACTCCCCCTGCTGTAATGAAATATTGAACAGCTTCGAAAGCGGTGTTGTAAGCTCTGAACAGCATCGCTTCAGGATGCTTGAGGGGATCCCGTCAGGGCCAGCAGCATTAGAAAATTTCAGCTTCTTGATGGCGGATTCGACGAGGTCTACTGTAATCGAGGTAATCGAAAAATTGAAAGCATCACTGGGAGTGTCCCTCACCGCTTCAGCAACTTGGGACAACGAAGCCGTAGTGTCATTGAAAATGCGTTTGAAATGTTCTGCCAGAAGATTACATTTCTCAAGGGAATTGCTGGCGATTCTATTACCCAGGTGAATTTCGACTGGTAGCCCCTCCTCGTTCGTTTGGTATTCACGAATGACCAGAACTGCTCTGGATTAAGCCGTAAATTAGCCTGCACACGCTTTGTGTAGCTCTTGTAAAGAATGCGGTTATTCGTGCGATATTCGTTGCTCGCTGTTGAAAATAATCGTTTGGTGAATGGGTATTAATATTGATATTTTGCAGCACTGGTTACGTGATGCAATCTAGATAATGTGTAAACACACAATTGACTCTTGTAACATAGAACGTGTCGAACACAATTTGTATTTTAAGAAATTTACCGTGAACGTAAGAGAAAAGTTATAATACGCCAACATCCATAGGATTTACTATGCATCACCATGGAAATAACTGAAGATCAATATTAAATGATAACAAAGGAAGGCCCTACCCTACACAGAGAAAATCGAATGTGCTGCCATTCGTTTCGCTGCAATGAATAACCATGTGTATCCTTAGCATATTTTGTAAAGATCAACTGAGGGAGCAACCAGTTTCAATAATCGTTTTATTTTTGCAGAGAACCAGTAAAATGTGGCGATGTCATTCGGCTGCACCATTTGGCAACGAACAAAAACCTACATTCGCATAATTTCCAGAGTCCTCTGTCCGGAAACCAGGAGATCTCCGCCTACGGCGATGAGCGTGGTATGTTACTGAAATACTTTTAACTTAGCAGCATTTCCAGGCCAAATTGCAAAACTAAATAAATTTCAGACCCAACCTTCTTCGAATTGCATGAAACTTTGCATAATTGTTTGTTATGGTAAATCATTAGTATTTTTTTTCTAAAAAACCGGCCAGTCACAAAAAAAAGTACAAAATGGCGAAGGGTAGAGAACTACTTCGGCCTAATCGCCCATTTTGGGCCTATCGAGCAGAAAAGTTCAAATAAATCTATGCTTTCAGATTTAACAAGTCAATTATGCGTTTGGTACGATTTAGTTAATAAGCTACCGAACGAAGTCAAGGAGAACGCGTGATATGAAGGTTTCCACTCATTATTCTCAAAAACAAAAGAAGCGCTCCGACCGAATCATGTTTTATCTTCATCCGATAGGCCAAAGTGAATTCATTGGCGTTTCAATGCGTTGGGCCGAGTTTAGAATCCGTAGGCCGAGTTTATATCTCAACGATTGGTTTCTCTTTATCAAATCTTACGGTACTTACGGAAAGGTAAATACATTTGAAAGCCATCAGTAATAATAAAAATCCGTTTGGTGCTAAACTGCGCTAGATTAAGATAGACTAAGTGCGGGTTGTGCTTAATAGGCCGGAAATGGGGTAGTTAACCCTATTCGAGATTTTTCAACCAATCATAACACGAAAATATCCCTTCCAATCAAAATGACGGCTCAGACAAAGTTGTAGGAAAATATAATCCCATTTCAGGAAAAATATACACGGTAGTAAATGTCAAGTAATTTTCGGTTAAAAAAAATTAATACTGTTTAAGCTTAAATAATCAAAAAACGACCCGCTTCAATATTTTTTGAATATCTTTTTATCAAGAAGCTCATGAAAAACAATACCTCCTGTGGAAATTTCAGGATGGTCACTTAAACATAAATAAAAATCATTGATCAGCAACTTTTGGACAAGTTTTTTTTTTAACTTTTTGATTTTAATATTTTTGTGTGAAATATTGCACAGAAAACTATTATTTATACTTTCAAAGGTTTTTTGTTGCTATTCAAGTGCCCAACTTTAAATTTTTATAGAAGGCAGAATTTTATACAAGCTTTGTAATAAAAAATATTAAAATATTAAAGACAATCATTTTGTTATATAAGTTTAAACACTTTTTTGCTTTTTCGACCCAAAATTACTTGACATTTTTTACATTGTAAATAAATCACGAAAAGGAATTATTTTCTCCTACAACTTTGTCTCGGATGTCATTTCAATTGAACGTGATGTTTTCGAGTTATGATTTGTTGAAAAATCTCAAAAAAGCCATATTTAAGTTTGTGCTAGATTCAAAATGGCCGAATTTTAGCTCAAATGTGAATGGCTGACCATAACAAACAATTACTCAAATTTTCATGCAAACCGGAGAAGATCGCATCAGATCGTTTCGCCATTTGGCGTGGAACTGCTCGTAGGTACCTGAAAAAGAATATTTTCCACTGATTCTCCTTCATCCTACAACAGGAATTGGTGACTCGGGTGATCATTGGTTAATCGTTTGCTCGGGTGACTCGTGGCAGCGTAATACTCCGGTGAAGCTGCGACACACCGATACCGATATGTATCTGTCCATATCGGGGCGGACTTTCGGCCGTCCGATCAATGGGCAGATGGAGGTAGTTGGTATTTCGAATCCGTACTCGGGAACCGATTGGTCTGCCGCCGAAGGCCTCTTCATCCATCAATCGGAGAACGAGAGTGCTCCAAGACATACGGAGCTGTGAGGCGACGAAGGTTCAAACGGCTAGAGCAATGTGCGAAGCACAACGAGTGGGTGGGAATGGGTTTGTCTGAGTGTGTGAGGAATGTCTGATTGTTTTCTTGCTTTGAAGGACTGAAACTTTGAAACCAAACGCAGAATGGTAGTGACTCGAGAAAATAGAAATAACAATCGTGTGTACTGTGTACCTACAAACCGTGCTGGAAGATGGAGATATGTACTATTTCTAATGTTTGATCTAGCAATGCTTTCTAGGTGCATAGAACAAATAAATTCGACACTTCTATTAAATATTATTATTGTGTTTCTTTTGGATCCCCATTCCTTACATCTTTCATAGAGGTCATGTTTTCTATTTTATAATCAACGCAGGTAATCGATGATGATCATTATAAAAGCTCAGTATTTAAATAAATTTTATAACTGATTTGTAAAAAGCAGCTGTTATCATGAGTCGAGTTATCTATTAAAGGATTTTTTTCTCTTGCTATCCAACTATACATAATTAGAACTCAGAGAGCATTGATATCGTGAGAAATACCGAGTCGCACGGGGTGTTTTCGCTCAAACAACAACAAACTCAGCTCCCGGTGAGCAGAGAAAGTGAAATTATTGTGACAGTGGCGGAGAATGCGCTCTGAGTGCGTTGTAGCAGGTGGCACCTTAGAAACGACGCATGTCATCTACCGAAGTTATTATCAGTTTGAATTGATCTCTTGAGTGCTAGCAATAGCCTGCACACTCACTCTCTAATCTCTTTGATAATTTTTTCCATGGTGGTCGGAGGTACAGGAATGTGCTGAGAAAAGCGTTTCGACTGAGGTAACTCAACGTTGTTTGAAATTTTATGATTTCATGCTTATATTGGTTTTTTGTGTCGTACCTCTTTTTCTGGCATGCAGACACTCTTTGCGGAAAACAGAGTTATTTTTCGACGTTTTGTCCTTCTGCATGGTTCCATATTATCATAGTTTTGATAGGTGACTAAGGTGATCGCACGAAAGTTTGCTTTGTTTTTGTTTTCCAAAGCATGTCTTCCCCATGCCAATAAACTGGAATTTTGAAATGAAAGAATTAGTTTTTTTTTTCTAATTTGTTAAACAATTAGGCAAAATTGTCAAAAACTCAACTTTACGGAGCCGAGTAGCATTGGATATATTTTAAATAGAAAAGGTGTCAACCCGAAAGTCGGATATCAAAATAATATCAAAATTATATCAAATTATGTTTTTGAAATCATATTGATCACATATTTTGCTTTACTATTTTTTAATTTCAGTTGATTTCATATTTTGATATTATTTTGAAACATCTAAAAATATAATTAAAAACAAAATTTGATATTTTATGAAAATCATTGGTATCATTTGTATTGGTAATGGCGAACGTTATAGTTTATTTCGCAGTGCTGTGAGAAATATTCAATTAATTAAGTGTGAAATTGTGCTTCTATTGGATATTGTATATTATTGTTGAGAGGAGCGTGGATTTTCCATTCGCGGGCGGTAACTTAGATGAATCTACAGCTGTTCTTAATAACGATTTGAAAACGTGTACTAATCAACTATTTGAGCAAAAGTTTGTTTCTTTGAAGAACTCGAACAGCTGGTACAATTTGAATCTTTTGCGTCTTAAACGGCCATTCAAGTCGACGTCAACCAGTACAGGTCGAAGTCAATTAGCTCTCTGACGAATCGCGTTTTATAACAAAAATCGTCACTCCAGGGGTCTAAAAGCTTAATACCTGGTATAAGCTCCCCTCAGCAACCATGGATTCACTAAGGTTACACACCGTATTCATGGACATCCGCGGAATCCGCAACATAAAGTATCCGCTCATCTATGAATTCATTGCGGAGCAACTCCATTTAACACCGAGCGAAGTACAAGCGATCCAGATCGATCTGACCGAAGGGAAGGTCTACATCGAGCTTCTCACACAGCACAAGGTCCAGGAAGTCATCCAAAAATTCGACGGCAGGCGAGAGCTGGTATGCGAAAACAAGCCACACAAAATACGAGTCTTCGTTGAAGATGGCGGCATCGATATCAAGCTGCATCATCTTCCACGTCGGATGCCACCAGAATGGATAGAACAACACATGCAAAAATTCGGCAATGTACTGAACATCAAGGATGAAATGTGCAAATCTTCAAGGTTTCCGAACACACCAAGCGGAGTGAAGATCATCAGGATGCAATTACGCCGAGCGATTCCGTCGTACATAAGCATTCGTGGGTACAGTACATATTGCACCTATGACAATCAGGTCCAGACATGCCGCCATTGTGGAAATATGATGCACAAGGGTCGTGGATGTGCTGAAAATAGGGCTCGGCTGGCCGCAGAAGAGCGCTCGGTCACCACGTACGCAGACATTGCATCCGACAACACTAACAACGAATTACCAACACAAGCTCCATCCATCGAGGAAAGGTCTCCAGCAGAAGGAAGTAAGTCGCAACGGCCAACAAGTGTCCCCGCGCCGATGGGAGCACAACAACAGCAACAACACCTCACTAAACGTCCGGCAGTGCTTAACGACGATCTTGAACAGCAGAGAAGAGAAAAAAAAACAGCGAAAACCGACACCGAAGATCGAAACTCATCAACTGAGAGAAGAAACGGAGATACAGTGGTCAGCAGTGCAGATCGAGAAGTAACTCACGGGAACCCATCTACAACCACAACAACCAATAAGTCCAACGATTCTACTGAGATGATCGTCGACGAAGAAGGGATGCAGACTCGAGGACGGAGTAGCCGAACTGCGACGAAGGCAACAACAACATCAAAATCACGAGAGGCAAGTAAATCAAAAAAATAATGGATCCCTCTCTTGATCGTTCGTACACATTAGCCACAATTAATATAAACGCAATACAAAGCCAGACAAAACTTGCTGCTCTATCAGCTTTCGTGCGGATGCTTGATTTAGATGTAGTGTGCTTACAGGAGGTAGCGTGTCATGATATTAGTGTATCTGGTTACGAATCCATAATCAATATTGACGAACGCAGAAGAGGTACTGCAGTGTTAGTTAAACATGGGATTAGGACATCTCAAATTCAAAAAAGCTTAGATTCAAGATTGGTGCGCGCCACACTTGAAAATACAGTTACTATAGTCAACATTTATGCACCGTCTGGAACGAATAACAGATATGTGAGGGAAGATTTTTTCAATCGTGTCGTTCCACAGTATGTTTTAAACACCGCTACCTACCTCATAATAACCGGTGATTTTAATTCGATTACCGATACACGAGACGCTACTGGAGCGACCAATATTAGCCCAAATTTAAAAAGACTAGTCCAAGCTCAAAATCTAACTGACGCGTGGAGATTATTCAACAACTTCAACGATTACACTTTTGTACGTGGGCCTTCTATGTCACGGATAGATACTATCTACGTAAACCAGCCTATCGTAACCCGAATACGTTACTGCAGGATTCAGGTGAATTGTTTCAGCGACCATAAGGCTGTGGTGATGAGAGTTGTGCTTCCTTTCGTATCACAACGTCCTCCTCGTCCCCCATGGAAGCTCAACAACAATTTGCTAACTGCCAGCAACATGGAAGAACTGCAAAGGAAGTGGACGTACTGGAAAAGGACGAGGCAGAATTATCGATCGTGGGTCGACTGGTGGGTGGACTTCGCCAAGGGAAAGCTGGTTTCATTCTTCAAGTGGAAGCAGAATCAGTTCTTTACTGGTTACAACAACACCTTGGGATTCTACTACTTGTGTTTGAATCGAGCATATACTACACACTTAGAGAACGACAACACGGCAGAAATAAACCGGATCAAAGCAGTGATGTTACGCAAGCAAAAGGAATTCAACGGTTTCTTCAGGAAGGAGTCAATTCGTCATCTACCGGATGAAGAGGTTTCAACTTTCCAAATCGATGATCATCGTAAACGCCAGGCAGGAGCAAAAATAGAAAATTTAGAGATCAACGGGAGAATACTCAATGATCCCAATGATATCGAAACAGCTGTTTACGAGCACTATCGGTCTCTATTCACGGGTGAAGAAGTGGAAAACCGAGACACCTTCCATCCTACAAGAGCAGTCCCCCAAAACAACGAAGCCAACAACAGAATAATGGACCGGATTACTGAGGACGAAATCTACGATGCCATCAGATTCTCTGCTCCTCACAAGACACCCGGGAAGGATGGATTGACCAGATAATTTTTCATGAAGTTATGGGACACAATCAAAACAGAAATAGTGGAAATTATCAATGAAATGATGAATGGCTTAATACGTCCAGAACAATTAGAAGGAATCATCGTACTAGTTCACAAAAAAGGAGGAAACAACTCGATCAGTTCTTACCGTCCAATATCACTGCTGAACGTGGAATACAAGATTTTGAGTCGAGTTTTGAAAGAAAGGCTTAATAAAGTAGTGTCATTGGCTCTTTCCAACGAACAAAAATGCAGCAACGGGAAAAAGAACATTTTCGAAGCAACCTGCTTGATTCGGGATGAGATTGGACACTCCCACCGCACGAGACAGAATGGACTTGTCATGGCTTGTGATCTTAGCAGCGCATTTGACCGGGTAAACTACGACTTTCTGGCAAAAACTTTACGGGAAATGAACATCAACAGCGATTTCGTGAATCTTATGTCGACTATTATGAGACACTCCAAATCACAGCTAGTTGTCAATGGGAGGTTAACAGAATTTTTCGACATCAACTGTTCAGTTCGCCAAGGAGACCCATTAAGTATGACTCTGTTTGTAGTGTACTTACAACCCCTAGTAGATCAGCTTTCACAAATATGCAACGATACAGGTGAGTCCATCACCGCCTATGCTGATGACATAACTATCATCATCAAACACACTGGCAAAACACAGTTAGTGATAGACTGCTTTCGTCAGTTTGGGGAAGTATCTGGAGCACGTCTAAATCTTCAGAAAACAGTTGGCCTGAAACTAGGAGCAGGAATTCCTTCACCAGAGGAGCTGATCATCAGTGAACAAGTGAAAATTCTTGGAGTCCTCTATAAAACTACAATCGAACACACAGTTGCAGTTAACTGGGCGAAGTTAAAACGGAGCGTAACTTCATTATTATGGATAAATCGTGCCAGGCTTCTGAACATTAAACAGCGGACTTGGCTCATTAACACGTACATCTGCTCCAAATTGTGGTATATTGCTTCTATCCTGCCACTACCATTAAGTATTGGAAAGTTTCTGAAACAGAAAATCACCAAATTTATTTG